ACAGAGGTATGTCAGACAGAGTCGGGGCCACTAATGGTGCAGAAAGAGGGGTAAGTTTTGTCTAATAAGTCAATTATCGTGTTGTAAATGGTTTGAAAACTAAACTACTATTACTGGCAACAAATGTGAGAAATTTAATGGCAATCCAATGGTTAGTGTAATGATTGGCTGTTTCTGTAATGGAAGCGATAATTAAAATAATTGAAACACTTTTTTTGATGATATGTTTTGGACAGCGAATCAGTGCTTCAGTTCCGCATTGAATCTCGCATTCAATTCAATGCATTTTGATAGAGAAGTACAGGTATTGCGGTGTGAAGTACAGCGAGTATTGCTATACAGGTTGTACTGTACACAGCGATTGAGTAACGCATTCACAGTTACGTTACAATTAAAGGCACTATTTGTGTCCCCATTCGGAGAGGCATTGAATGGTTGAGCGCTTGAATGCAATGCATTTGCAATGCATTAATGGGTTTGCGATGCAATGCAATGGCTATGATATCCACGCCTTCAATACGATTACGTCATCAAAGGTTGAGTTTTACAGTAGTTTTTAAAACTGATATTTTGTTTGCATTCAGTCTTTGCATTCATTAGACATACGTTTGGCATATATTTGGCGAACATTTCTGTCGTTTCAAACATTGATTACAACTATAATCATAATTAATACCTATTATTAACTATTAGTAACTATTATTAACACATTTATTGTGCGTTCAAAACAACTGTTGTATTAATTATTGAAATATCGTTTCAATTGATTAGCAAATGAAGCGATTGTTATGTAATAATTGAATGCATTTAATGGTCTGCTTATGACATCTCCTCTCAATTCAACTCAATCTAAGGGTAAATATATTTTGTATTATTTATTGCTTTAGAAATATTCAAATCTCTTTGCGTTGGTCTCCAATGGATCCCATTATTTGTGTCCAAAACTATTCACACGTATTGTAGAAATGGATAATCAGTTGTCATTAAAATTAAAGTTATTTTTATGTTTTCAAATGAATTGTTTGTTAAAAATAGGTTTTGATTTGAAAGTTGTGTTGCATTTGTGTTGACAAACGTTGAGATGATATATTTTGTTTGCATTCAGTCTTTGCATTCATTAGACATACGTTTGGCATATATTTGGCGAACATTTCTGTCGTTTCAAACATTGATTACAACTATAATCATAATTAATACCTATTATTAACTATTATTAACTATTATTAACACATTTATTGTGCGTTCAAAACAACTAAACTATTAATTATTAAAATATCGTTTCAATTGATTACCAAATGAAGCGATTGTTATGTAATAATTGAATGCATTTAATGGTCTGCTTATGACATCTCCTCTCAATTCAACTCAATCTAAGGGTAAATATATTTTGTATTATTTATTGCTTTCGAAATATCCAAATATCTTTGCGTTGGTATCCAATGGATCCCATTATTTGTGTCCAAAACTATTCATATGTATTGTATGTAGAAATGGATAATCAGTTGTCATTAAAATTAAAGTTATTTTTATGTTTTCAAATGAATTGTTTGTTAAAAATAGGTTTTGATTTGAAAGTTGTGTTGCATTTGTGTTGACAAACGTTGAGATGAGTGGATATGAGATGTCTATAAATAGCGTTAATGTTATGATAATAATAATATGTTGTATAATATGTGGTTATAATAACTGGAAGTAAATGTTGATAACCCGGGGATCAGTTGATCTAATTTAAGAGTCCATTCACAAGAGTCAAGTCAAGTGGTGGTTATAAGTCGTGATCCGATAGAGAGAGAGAGAGAGAGAGAGATGTGATTATATTTCTAACAAATATAAAATTACCTGTTATTGAAATAATAATGTTGAAATCTGATTTTATACCTTATTTAGATATCTAGAGAGAGAGAGAGAGAGAGAGAGAGAGAGAGAGAGAGAGCCCAGTCTCTCTTGGGTTAGGGTTTGGGTTAATAATCAAAGTTGTGTCCCATTTCTACCTTTATGTTGTGTTGAGACCAGTCATGCCAACCAGTGCTTCATATATGCCATGATTTTGGTTGTTTGATACCATCGGTTGATATATTATATTCAGGCAAACAATACAATTGCAAACCAAATCTGTCGGTCATTGTTCTCAAACTTATTGTTTTATTTAACAAATACTGCAAATTTGAGTTAAATATATTATGCTATCAGTCTATCACTCAAAGTATTCAAATCAATATTTAATTCATATATTATTACAATAAATAATTGAATTTCCAATAAATGTCTAATCAATTGATTGAACGCATGGATTAAGTTATGAATTAGTGTTCAATTTCTATGCCATTGAATGCCTTTAATGTTATTAAATTTCGATATTGTTTGCGGAAAAATATGAAAACTCATAGAAATTAATGATTAGTTAAATAATAATGGCCTGAATTTCATTACAATTTCTGTAATTCAAAAAAAAAGTAATACAAGTCTAGTATTGTAAGCATAAATCTCTGCACTTTCAGTGTTTAGTGTCTTTGATTTATTCAATGTTTGCTTTTATCCATAATTTTCACTCAAAAATCAATTGAATGAATGAATGCATTCATACCCTTATCTCCAAAACTCAAAACGTTAACAAAACCAAAGAATTGTTGTCTTCGCGCAACAAATCTGTTATTTCCCCACATATTTCTCTCTCACTAAAATATTCAAACAATAAGTCATTCAAGAATTTAGTCAAAAAACAAGAAAATACTGCAAAACAACTGTTAATTAACGAATAACTCTTATTTAATGATTTGTTTCCCTTTACCTCTATTTCGATTGTATACATATTTCCTGTACTTAACACACATTTTATACCAAATTTCTTGGCTTTTCGTCAAAAGAAAGTTTTTTAGTTTATTTATTGATTACTGAATGACAGGTCTGTATGCGTGTCATCTTATGCTATGAAAAAAGCTCTACAAATGAGTTCACATAATGTTAAATAATAATATTACAGTATATAATACAATGTATATTTGCAATTGTAATGCATTTAATAATTTGTCAAAAAAAATTTGTTTCACATGAATATAGAGGAGAGAATGGATTTAAAAGTCATTTATAAGTCACATAAGTTAGCGTTAGAGGCCTTTAATGAATATCACCGGTAATTGTTTTTAGATTACATATCCTGTTGACTCTTATGGTGTTGTTATTTAATCCCAGAATTTGTTGTTTAGTGACCACTCCCTCCACCTCTAAGGCATCCAAAGGTTACCGATGAGGGGGAGGGGACGGCCAGAGGGTGTAATCTTATCTATCAGTCAAATATAAACGCAATCAATACTTATTAAATGCTATACTTATCATAACTTATGAATTACTTATTATATTATGCAATCAAATGCATAATGTATATCATTTTTGCTTCATATAAATGATAGCATTCATTGATGTTTGCGATTGCATTGGTTTACCTTAAATGACATTCATATCTCGTATTGTCTGTTGAGGCCATTGAATGGTTTATTGAAGTTTTTTGTTGAAAAAGTTAGGGATGTGTCGCCCCTTTGATTACAATACAATTGTTTGGACACATTATCGCATAAATGATATTTCTTTCGTATCAAATATAGAGCTATTCTTGTGTTGAGGTTTTATTAATATAATATTCACTCTACTGTGCAATCAATTGTCTAGTTTTGACATTTTGTTCACTCGTTTATTATATAATTAAAACATATTTTAATATTAGAAAGACATGAGAAGACAGATATGAGACTAATTGTAATGCTTTACGCAATCAACGAATAGGTCTCGACATTGAACTTTTTATAACTCCTTATAATTCTTGGAATACATTGATTGAAAATTGCGTGAAATCTAATACACAGAAGTGTTGTATAAGGAGTGAAGAATGTTGTCTATTTGAAACTCATTGATCAAATGTTTGTGTTGCTTCTCGTCCTTTATACTGATGTACTGTACGCTAACTGTAAGTACTGTCTGTACATGTCTTAAGGTCTGAATAGACACTAATATATGGTAAGATGACGTGCGAAACCATCCGCCTCTTTGGATGGCATATTCTTGTACTCGTCATTGCATTTGAGTGCACACTAGTGTAGTACCTGTTAGTGACTGGTCCTCATTGAAAGCAATCCTTTCATTTCATACCACTATTTCTCATTGCATTCCTTCGGGCGATTGCTTTCCAATAGTTAAGCACTTCATATGATTTCCTCTTATAGACAGCAATCGCTTTCATTTGTAAGACACTATTGGAAACACTCTTTATTTTTAATCGTTAACAGTAATCGCATTCCTTGTCTTAACTCAATAAATAGCGAATACAATAAAAGTATTATTTCTAACAATAATAAAAAAGTTTAATTTATTTGTTGCGCTTAAATATTGGATAAAATACACCCTATAGTCTAATAACTTGATTAAATTGCCTCTAGTTTTGATGAGAATATTTATTTTTGCAAACCTTTGCTAAATCCATAGTTACTTAGCTTTGGATACCAATGGTTTGCGATTTCCATATTATGTATTTATGTCAGTAATTGTGTAAACATATACTGTATTTACGGTTAAAGATTTGTTGCGAACAATCATATGCACAATGATATCATCAATAGTCACCTGAATATCATGTTTCCAAGTAATATATGTTTAATGTATGCCTTATATTCTATTCAATAGCTTTGTTGACTAAACTTTTAATGAATTATGTTTTTTGTGTATTCCTATCACAACATGTAATTAACAAATCAAAAAAACTTTCACTTCAAAACTGCTTTTGAAATATAAATATTTATCTAATGTTTGGTTCACTTTCGCATAATTCATAAGTAAATGTTTTCAAACAAATTCTGAATGTTTTTACAATTTAGATAAATGTATGTGAAATATAACATAAATTAAACATTTAAATAATGTTTTGCTTTCAGAACAAAAGGACAAAAATGATAAAACAAAGTTCACTATTAAAATGGGCTACAAATGGGACTAAAAATTTAACTAATATGAAGAGTTCGTCGAAAAACAATTGGATTCATCCGCCGGAAGCTCTGACCAGAGGACACGTCGCGTATTTAGTAAAGGTTTGTCTTATTATTAGTTTAATTACATTTATTATAGATATTAAAAGATATTAAATAAAGTTGTTTCGTTTGTTTGTATAGTTTTTAGGCAATACAGACGTCGATCAGCCAAAGGGTATAGAAGTGGTGAAGGAAGGCATTAGGAAATTGAAGTTTAATCAACACATTAAAAGAGCTGAAGGTATCTATTGTTTGCTAAATTTTTTTTAATTGTATTTTACACATTACTGTCAATATTCTGCTTTAAACCCCAATATATTATTAATTGTATTGACATTACAACTATTTTCTTCTAATTACTTATAAATTTATATAACATTATAAATGAAACCCAATTAACATTAGCTACTTTAGTTGTAGATATAATTATGAAATTGTAGTTATATTATTTTTTATAGTTAACAGTGTTAGGTAACAGTGCTATTAACTTAACACTGATAGACACGAACAAACAATTATTACAATCATTTGTTTAGTTTCCGTTTAATTTTTCACTCCAATTGTGAACTTAAAATGTGACTAAAATTTTTCTATTTGCAAAATTTGATATAACTGTAAATTACAAGTTAGAAGTGATCGGTTGGGTATTAGGATTGAGTATCGGATATTAGGATCTCTTACAATAGTTTCAAGAAGTGATCTATAAATTGTATTTACGGTATTAGTAATGAAATGCTGTCACACAACACACCCACCATTGATCACCAATCAAGTGGACACAGTTGGGGGCACCGGTCAAAGATGACCACTTAATATATGAGTTGCATTTCATTGATAGGTTATTACCGTATTAACATGGTATTTTATATTATGATTTACGTTGCGTTACTGTATTAGAACTGTGTCTCAATTTACGCCCAAATGTGAGGAATGATAAAAATACAACAAAAATGTTTTAAATGTATGTAAAAATAGATTACAATTTGAACAACTATTTGATTGCAAATTACAAAACATTGGATTTGTTTTAAAAGTTTATAAAAAACATTAAACCATTATTTAAGCGTATTTTAACAAATTCAACTCAATTAATAATATAAATACTGTAATAGGAAATTAATGAATACGCTTATGGTAAAAAAGTTTAGGTTTTCTAAAAATGATTTAAAATTTAAATTGTAATCTATAATTCTTGTTAATATGCCGTCAAAACTATTAGATCTCCGGTTTATATAAATATATTAAGTTTATAATACAAATACAATACAGAATTAATGTTATGAAAAATATTTCTAAAAATAATAATAAATAAAAATATTTTACATTTTAATAGAAGAATGAAATGTTTGACCGACTTTTGCATTAAAAATATTTTACTAATAATTATTTGTATAATAAAATAACTGATTGACAACTAAATGTCGAATTACTAGAACTAAATGTATTGATTTGTTTGATAGGTTCCAAAACGCCGAAAGTAGAGCTAACGATATCTATCGATGGAGTGGCCATTCAAGAGCCCAAATCGAAGCGAATCTTCCATCAGTTCCCATTGCATCGCATCTCTTACTGCGCGGACGACAAGTCAGAGAAAAAGTTCTTCAGTTTTATCGCCAAAGAGAGTGACTCCGAGAAACACATCTGCTTTGTGTTCGTGAGCGACAAATTGGCCGAAGAGATCACACTAACCATCGGTCAGGCCTTCGATTTGGCTTATCGTAAATTCCTGGAGACGTCGGGACGCGATCTCGAGATGAAGAAACAGTTAATGATTTTACAGAAAAGAGTTCGAGAACTCGAGCAACAGAACAACGAACTGAGGGATCGACTCAATCACTACGAACACAATGGCAATGGACTTAATGGCAATGGCGTTGGAAATCATCACTCAGTGAACAACAAGTTATATAGCACTCACTTAGAGACCAAACACGTTATGAACGGCAACGATAACCATAAGGCAGAGACGCCATTACAGCCATTGCCACCACTTCCACCACTGCAACCGCCGCCCAGTGCTCTCCCGCGAGCACTTAATCGCAGTTTCTCTGAGAACCAAAGCGTCAATCTATTGGACTTAGATATAAGTCAAACGAAACCAATTGTCG